TTTTAAAGATTTTATTTATTTGTCAGAGAGAGAGGGAGAGAGAGCGAGCACAGGCAGACAGAATGGCAGGCAGAGGCAGAGGGAGAAGCAGGCTCCCAGCTGAGCAAGGAGCCGGATGTTGGACTTGATCCCAGGATGCTAGGATCATGACCTGAGCCGAAGGCAGCTGCTTAACCAACTGAGCCACTCAGGCGTCCCAATTTCTGCATTTTCAATTAAAAAAAAAAAGTTACTGTAGAGAAAAAATGAAAAAGTATCACTTCTTTCAAAGCATTCAAGACACTGGGAGATGGAGAAGAGAAGTGAGTTGGGAGAAATTGGAGGGGGAGACAAACCATGAGAGACTGTGGACTCTGAGAAACGAACTGAGGGTTTTGGAGGGGGACAGTGGAGGGGTGAGCTTGGTGGTGGGTATTATAAAGGGCACGTATTGCATGGAGCACTGGGTGTGGTGCATAAACAATGAACTTCGGGACACTGAAAATAAAATAAAATTAAATAAAATTTAAAAAATCAGTGTGCTTAGGATTAATATAAGGAGAAAAAGATATATTGCTTACAAATAAATAAATAAATATCTTCATGACTTTTCTCACACCATTAATTCTCATGGTGACCATTCATATTTTCAAAGAAGACAACTCAGACAAGAACAAAGATAAGATGATAATTGAGAAATATACTAAAACAAATGTTTCCTTGTGGAAATCAATACTTCTTACTCATATGGATGTTCTCAAAAAGACAAAGTACTGTGCCCCAAATGGGAAATAAAAGATTTTTGTCAAATGAATTAATGAAGTTTTAAGACTGATTCATTAGCACTCTGATCAGAGGAAGAGACTATAGAGGGGAGGAAGAAGTTGCACGGGCCTGGGTTCTAATGAAGCTCTTCCACAAACCAATTATGACCAGACTTAATAACTGAATTTCCTTGGATCTTGTTTTTTTAATCTGTAAAACAGAGATGATGATACCTAAGATTTGCTGTAAGATTTTAAACCAACAAATGCAAAGCGCCTATCACTTATTAGGTGATTTTAAAAAATGTTGGAATAATTATTTTATGGCAGAGTTATTCTTATATAACTTTTTTTTTAAAGAAATGTGCAGATTTGTATGAAAGCTCAGTTTTCAGAAGATATATAGTGGTGAGGGGCTACTGACAGAGCAGAAATAAGAGGTCTGAGAATATAGTTAAGCTTTTCAGGTAGCAGCAGTCTTATTTTATTAAGCACAACATTTTTAATATATTTATAACCTCCCTAAAATACACTACGCACTCCCATGCTTTCTTCCCCAAAATACACTACACACTCCCATGCTTTCTTAAGTGAAATATGCTAGATAACCATTAGTCTTTATTTCTGGACAACTCAGTACCAGCAGTATGGGCAAAAGCTGGTGACACTTTTGGACCTATTAAATTACATAGGGCTGCCCTTTTCAAACTAGGATATGTGTTGGTATGCTGTATATTAAAAATAATACATAATTCTCAAGCATGCATTTAATTCACTCTAAGTAATTTGAAATGCTTTGGAATATATGTATTTTAAGATTTTATTTATTTGACAGAGAGAGACACAGTGTGAGAAGGAACACAAGCAGAGGGAGTGGAAGAGGGAGAAGAAGGCTTCCAGTGGAGCAGGGAGCCCAATGTGGGGTTCTGGGATCCCCGGGACCCTGGGATCAGGACCTGAGCAGAAGGCATATGCTTAATGACTGAGCCACTCAGGTGCCCTTGCTTTGGATATATTAAAAATAGATATAATGTTTGGATGTATTAAAAACATAAAAACATTGTTTTTCAATATTCTGAAATATTGAATATTGAAATAAATCAAATATTTACTGAGTGTCTACTTTGTGCTGGATATTGATTCAAGTTCCTGGAGACAAAACATTAGGAAAATAAGGAAAAAATAACCGAACTCATGGAACTTATATTCTAATAGATGAAGATGGGCAATAAGCAAATAAACTCTATACTACGCTAGATGGTGCCAAATGGAGTGGACAAAAATAAACAAGAGGAGTTTCACTCTAAAACAGGGTAGTCAGAGAAAGCCTCAGTGTGAAAGTGCCCTGTGATTAAGGGTCTCAAGAACTGGGAAAGTCAGACACTGGGATATCTGTGGGAGAAGTTTTCGGTAAAAGGAATACTAAAAATATAAAGGTCTTTAAGTGGGCTCACTGAGAACAGCAGGGAGACAGTAAGTCTGGGGAGGAAGGAGCAGGAAAGTGGCAGATTAGATGAGACCGGTAAGGCACCAGGTCTCCTAAAGCTTTATAGCTTTTGTATTGATTTTGTGTATCCTCTGGGTGAGAAGACGGTGGAGGCTTCGAGAATAGGAGAGAGATGCTCTATACTCAGGTCTAAAAAAGACACCGGGGCTGCTGCTGGGAGTAAAGGATACTAGTCTAAGCAGAGAAACAGGAAGAGACCAATAGCAGAGGACACCAACGATCCAGGCGGGAGGCGCTGGCGGCTTGGACCAGAGTGGTCGCAGGGAAGGGGACAGTCCCAGGATGCTGGACAGTTTCCCAAGAAGAGCAAATAGAATCCCACGTGCAGAAATGAAGGGTGAGGAGGCTGCGCCAAGGTTTCTGGCCTGAACGTTTCTCGACATGTACTTGGATGGAGAAGGCTGTGGATGGAGCAGGTCTGGCCCGCAACATCAGGAGCTTGCCCTGGAGAGGTAGAGGTAGAAAGCAAACTTCAAATGAACGTTCAGCATGAAAGCATAAAAGAAATAGGAACTTTCTGACAGATCCTTTCCAGGAATACCCCCAGACAGGTAAAAGGCAGACTTGAATATTCTCTCTTCTTAGGGCTCCTTGGGCAGACAGGTTTTTCGGGCAGTAATAGAGCTCTGGTTCCCAAATGGTCTCTCCCTTTCTCAGGGTCTCTTTTTATCCCTCTGTTTTCTCTCCTGCTGCAGGCAGTCGGGTAATACTTTCCCCATCTAACAATGTACTTGTTGATCCTTACACCCCTCTCCACTTTCTAATTTCTTGGAACGTGGAAGCAAGCCAGAATGACAAGGTAGGTGGAATCTTGCGGAGGCCCAGAACGCCTTCCACGCGACGAGCATCTCTGCCCAGAGCTGGCCTTACTTCCTGGTTCTCAGGAAAAGAAATTCATTTCGTAAACCGGTTCCCGCAACACACCGCCTCGGAGTTGCGAAACCTGACGCGAGGTGGGGCTGAGCCACAGAAGGACTTGGAGCCGCCTCTCCAAGCCCCGGCTTCCTCCTCAGGTCGGATGAACTGATCCTCGGGAACCCACCCAACCCACCCTGGAGCAAACTGGGCCCACACACCCTACTTCCTCTCTAACTTTTCTCATTTTGAAGACAGAAGGCGGTTTTTCTTCCGAAACCGTCCTTCAACAACTCTGGGACACAGGGATGGAGACCGGAGCGCAGACCGCGGACGACCTGTGAAGAAGACACGCATGGCGGGAATTCCTTACCTGCCCAGTAGCGGGGCGCCAGGGCGGCCGGGGCACCGCCCCGCTCAGCCGGCTGCGGAAGAACCCCGGCAAGCAAGAGCACCGGGACGGGGTGGGCCCAAAATATTAGTCCCCGCTCCAGTCCCCGCCCCAGTCCCCGCCCCGTACCTCCTCTGTACGCCGCCAGGCGGCTCTGCCCGGGGAGAAATGCCAGGTCTCGCGTAAAGCTCTTCTTTAAGTGGGAGCCTGCCCCTTTAAATACGCCGCTGTCGGAGACCAAGTAATTTAAGACTTCCGGACATGCGCGCAGCGTAGTGCCCAGGAATTCCTTAACTCGGACGCGAGGTAGACCGATAGAGCTTCTTGCAAGATGTGGGGCTTTGTGCGGGGCAATGACGAGATTAGCATTGGGACCCCCGACTTTTTGCCCGAAAGAGGGAGGCGACATGAGCTAGTATCAGCGTTGGGGCAGGCGGGGGCTGTGGAGGGATAAGCAGGTGGAGACACTGGCTGTGCTCGGGGTACTTTTGATGCGCCAGAAGGCAACCCCGCTAGAGACTAGTTCTGCGAATTGGTGGCGGAAAGCAAATAGGCGTGACTGCAGTTGAGCGTTGGCATTTGAAGGAAGAGCGTGAGGGGAAAAGCGCTACCTGCTGCCTTTCTAACATCTCCGCAGAATCTGCCCCCAACCAACAAATCCCCAACCTTGGGTCAGCCAAACTACCCACTCGTCTCCGCCCCGCACCCTCGTCAAGAAGTCTGCTGTCTAGGAATACTGCCTATTTGTGTTAAACTGGACGTGGGCTTCTAGTCTCCCTCCAGCTCAGTTCCACTCTTTCACTAAGATGCTCAGTTGTAATTCTCTGAACATTTCGTTCTTCTCAAGGTGTTCTAGCTAACCCAGTAGCTTAGAAGGTCTTTATATCTTCTTCCTTCTACTGGGGAAAGAGTACGTCATTATTCTTTACTAGGATAGCCCTAAAACTGCTCTCGATGACATTGCTTTCCAACTCTTGGACTTCTTCATCACATTGATCTGCTCAGTGCCGTCATTCATCTTACTGAAACGTCTTTTTGGACTGTGTCGTTTTTCTACTCAAACACCTCCAGTAGCTATATGTTGACCACTCGACGCATTCCAAGTTCTTGGTTGGGCATTCATTGTCTGGCAGTTTGGTTCTAATCCTAGCTGTATTTTCCAGAACTGTACTACAAAACTTTTCCTCCTATTGTTCATGTATCTGGGCTGTTTAGTTTTCCCTAACACATTGCATATTTGGCTTGTATGTACTTACGATATGTCTCTACCTTATTTCTATGTTTTGAATTGTTTGGAGGACTTAAATGGTCCCTTGTATTATGCTTTCTCTGGTTATCATAGGTGAAAGTGATCTGTTGGTTCCTTTATATCAGTCAGGGACAACCTTTCTGAGTTGTGACTGAGGAATTACTAATTTAATCAGCGGGAACAGTTAACACAAGGAATTGAAGAAGGCCATTGTAGTTGGAGATAGTGCATAATGGAGAAAGGGTACAAGATAAATTTGGAGAACAGATAGAGTCCAGAATCTTAGCGGTCTCTGGAAGCCAGGGTAAGTAATTTAGATTTCATTATCAATGTGATTAGAGGTCTTAAAGAGGGTTGTGATATGATTTAACTTACCTTTCAAATTATCGTTCTGGCCATGTGGAGAATAGACAATAGTGGACTAGTTAAGTAGAGGCAGATTCGAGACCTTCACAATATGTAAGAATTTCTAAGATGGGAGTGCTAAATGATGGAAGGACAGCAAGAGTAATCAGAGAGCCAGACGCTTAAAGTTGATGTAATTTTTGGTGTTGAGAAAGTCAAGGTTATGACCAAGATAAAGTAAAAGTGACTTGAAGTGGAGATCAAGGAACAGAGGGACTGTGGTGTTAAACAGATGATGCATATGGATGGACATGGAAGTCATGCTGGATGGGAAGACATTGAGGGAGTTGTTAAAATCATCTGTGAATGAAGAGGAGTCGTCTGGGGACCAAAGAGAAGATGATAGCAGATGGCAAAGCCTGATCGCATGAACTTCAAAGGCGTTGGGATTTGGGGGAGGTAGAGGAGTGAGAAATGGTTTGCAGAAGTGGCAAACAGAAAATATTTACTTCCTCTAGGTCCTGAGTTAAGTAGGTGTGAAAGGAAGAATAGCTTTCACTTGAGAGGACTAGAGAAGCAGCAGCATGGGGAAATAGCTAGGTTTCAGTTACGGCAAGAAACTGAGGAGGCTGTGCAGGAAATTAAGGAACAGAGGAAAATAAATATATCCTTACGTAGTCTAGGAAATTAGGATATAGAGACTTTGCTGTGATTTCCATGTGACACGATGCATGGGGCACTTTACTAAATTGGTTCAGATTAGTAGAATACATTTTAGAAATGAGATGAAGGTCCAGAAGATGATGAATTACCTAGAGAGGTCGTTAGTATGTAAATAGTATGTGGTCCCTGGGCGTTTTATCTTTGATATAGCGCTATCTGGTATGGTAACTGTGGGCTGTGTGAAGTGTGAATAAAGGCTTTTTCAGAGGATTATTCTCTTACCTACTGCTTAAGATTTGTGAAGTGTTCTTCTCTCTGATGCCAGTAGCACGGTTGGAATTTTCCTGTGGGTCAACATCAAAAGTTTGTATCCGTAAAAGTCTGGAACTGGGTTTTCAAGAAAGTTTAAGGCTCAGGATTAATTTAAGTGTGTTTTGAAGCATAATCAAATTGCAAGCTGGTTTTTAGAACTTCATTTATCTATCAATTTGGACTATTTCTTCCTGTCTTCTAGCCCTTTCTCTCATCTCTAACCCCTAATATATAAAAATCTAGCCACAAATTCTCTGGAATTAGCTGGAAATTTTCAGGGATGGGATTTAGACAAATAACTTTAAGTCCTATGTTCTGGTCTCTTTGTGGGCCTACAAGTAGGATTTTTAAAGTAAACTTGAAACTGATCCATTTCAATCCCGGATAATAGATGGAAGCTTGGAGTGGGTGGAGAATGAAGTTGCAAATCATCAGTTATAACAGAAAAGATTACCTGTTAATTCATCTTGGTATAGAAGAGTGAAAATACACATGACATATAGAAATAAATTGCTAATGCCTTTTAAGGGGACTCAGGATTGAAAGGGAGAAAGAAAAATCCTACAAGTATATTTCTTTATTGTTATCCATAACTTTTCTTTCTGGTAACTGACTGCCTTTTTGTTTCTTTTGTAGGCATTGTTATTTAAGAATGGAAGAGGATACAGATTTTAGGATCAGGTTTAGTTCCTTGCGTTTCATTACTGATCATGTTGGATTTCATGGCACTATAAAAAGTTCACCAAGTGACTTTGTTGTTATAGAGATTGATGAACAGGGACAGTTAGTTAATAAGGCCACCAATGAGCTGATTAGTAAAGTACAACCTGAGCCAAATAATTTTGCCAAAAAGACAAAACTTGATTTTCAAAATTTATCCTTTAAAGAGGGAAGGAACCAAGAAGTCAGTACTTTCACTGGGTGCTCTGATGATGACCACAATGATCAGTCTCCTTCAGAAAAGGAAGATACTATCAGTGATGGAACTTCCAAAAGTGAAGAAGGAAAAGTTGACGTTTTAGGCAACTTGTTAGATGAAAAAACTAATGAATTACTGAATCACTTTGCCTGCGATATAAAAGAGAAGTGGAATTCTAAAACTGAGCTAATTGGATCATCTCCTGAATTCTCATTGGGCAGAATCCTTGACAAAAACCAGAGGGCTATTTTGCATAGTGCTATTAGGCAGAAATTCCCCTTTTTAATAACTGTTGGTAAAAACAGTGAGATTGTTGTAAAACCGAATCTTGAGTTTAAGGAACTCTGTCACTTGGTATCTGAAGAAGAAGCATCGGACTTCTTTAAATATTTGGATGCAAAGAAAGAAAATTCCAAATTTACCTTTAAACCTGATACAAACAAAGACCACAGAAAAGCAGTCCATCATTTTGTCAACAAAAAGTTTGGAAACCTTGTAGAAACCAAATCTTTCCCCGAAGTTAGTTATAATGCCGGTAATCCAAATGTAGTGATTACAGTAAGATTTCGGGAAAAAACACACAAGCACAGGAAAAGGTCTCTTTTTGAATGCCGGGATCAGAAAGTTATATACACAGGTAATGTAATAAATCATTACCATTTTCTTTGATAAAGTAGTTAAAATTGTGTGAAAGATTAATAATTTCAAATGAATTAAATAGACTTAACCAGAGGAGTGTCAGAAAAAATATTTGGGTGTGGTTTTTAGTGGAAGATAAAGCCTTTTGAATTACACTAATTTTAAGAATTAACCTTATTGATCAAAGTATGGTTAACACAGATGCTTATAATTAACATAGTCACAACTGTACAAGGTTGAAGGAGTTATTTTGTGTTTAATAAGTTTTATTGGAGATAAATCTTGATTTCATATTTTAGAAGTTATTTTAATTAAAATTAAATACTCAGATAAGTAGAATATGTCTGCTGTGCTTGGGAAAGTGAAGAGAACACCTTGTTATCTAAACAAATGAACTTCACCATGCAAGGCAGAGAACCTCCTTTCAAGGAGCTCCTTCTTTGTCACTCTTTTAGAGAGGAGGTTCTCAAGCTTTAACATGCATTAAAAATCACGAAAAGGGCTTGTTAAACAGATTTCCAAGCTGTATTCTCAGAGTTTCTGGTTTACAAGGTTTGGGGCAGGCTTTCAGAAATGCCCAGGTGATACTTTCTCCTCAGTCCAGGGACCACATTTTGAAAATCACTGTTTAGCAGATATATTCAATCCCTAGGCCTGGAAGGAGCTGATGAAATCTTATTCTACAAGTTCGGCTGATCAGGTTTAATTGGTCTGTATCCTACATGAAGAATAGGAAGTGTTTCAGATAGTCTTGTTTTATAGATAGAGCAAAGCTTTTTAATTTTTTTTCCTGGTTAAACACATTATTTTATTTATTTTTTAAGTTTTTATTTTAATCACCCAATGCTCATCATGATGAGTGTACTCCTTAATCCCATCACGTATTTCACCTGTCCCCTTCACCTACCTTCCCCCTGGTAACCAGCAGTTTGTTCTCTATAGTTAAGAGTGTTTCTTCATTTGTCTCTCTGTTTCACCCCCCCCCCTTTGCTCATTTGTTTCTTAAATTCCACATATGAATGAAATCATATGGTATGTGTCTTTCTCTGACTGGCTTATTTCACTTAGCATTACTCTAGCACCATCCATGTCATTGCAAATGGCAAGATTTCATTCTTTCTTTACTGCTGAGTAATATTCCATTTTATGTATATGCAACCTGTTTATCCATTCATCAATCCATCAGTGGACACTTGGGTTGCTTCCATATCTTGGCTATTGTAAATAATGCAGCTATAAATGTAGAGGTGCATGTATCCTTTTGAATTAGTATTTTTGTAATCTTTGGGTAAATACCCAGTAGTGAGATTGCTGGATTATAGGGAAGTTTTATTCTTAACTCTGAGGAAACTCCATACTGTTTTCCACAGTGGCTGTTCTAATAGTGCAAGAGTGTTCCTTTTTCTCCACATGCTTGCCAACACCTGTTGTTTCTTGTATTGTGGACTTCAGCTATTCTGACAGGTGTGAGGTGATATATCATTGTAGTTTTGATTTGCATTTCCCTGATGATAAGTGATGGTGAACATCTTTCATCTTTTCATGTGTCTGTTGGCCAGCTGTGTGTCTTCTTCTTCTTTCTCCTTCCCTTTTTTAAAAAAACTTTTTTTATTTTTTATTAACATATAATGTGTTATTAGCCCTAGGGGTCCAGGTCTGTGAATTGCCATGTTTATACACTTCACAGCACTCACCATAGCACATACCTTCCCCAATGTCCATAATCCAATTTTTTTTTTTTTTTTAATAATTTCCACACCCAGGCTGGAGCCTAATGCAGGGCTTCAACTCATGACCCTGAGACCAGCACCTGAGCAGAGATCAAGAGTTGGATGCTTAACAGACTGAGCAACCCAGGCAGGCATCTGTTTGTCTTCTTTGGAGAAATGTGTGTGTGTGTCTTCTGCACATTGTTAAATTGGATTATTTGTTTTCTGGATGTTGAGTTGTATCAACAACTTTTTCTGGAAGTTGAGTTTATATATTGTGGATACTAAACCTTTATCAGATATATCATTTGCAAATATTTGCTCCAATTCTATAGGTTACCTTTTAGTTTTATTGATTATTTCCTTTGCTGTGTAGAAGCTTTTTATTATGGCGTAGTGCCTGTAGTTTATTTTTGCTTTTGTTTCCCTTAGCTGAGGAGACCTATCTACAAAAAAAGTTGCTACAGTTGGTGTCAGAGAATTATTGCCTATGCTCTTTCCTAGATTTTTATGCTTTCAGGTCTAACATTTAGGTCTTTCATCTATTTTGAATTTATTTCTGTGTATGGTGTAACAAAGTGGTCCAGTTTCATTCTTTTGCATGTAGCTGTCCAGTTTTCCCAACACCACTTGTTGAAGAGATTGTCTTTTTCCCATTAGATATGCTTTCCTGCTTTGTTGAAGATTAGTTGACCATATAATTGTGGGTTCATTTCTGGATTTTCTTTTCCATTCCATTGATCTATGTGTCTGTTTTTGTGTCAGTACCCTACTGGTTTGATTGCTACAGCTTTGTAATATAACTTGAAGTCTGGAATTGTGATGCCTCCAGTTTTGTTTTGTTTTGTTTTTCAAGATTGCGTTGGCTATTCAGGGTCATTTGTGGTTCCATACAAATTTTAGGATTAGTTCTGTGAAAAATGCTATTGATATTTTAATAGGGATTCCATTAAATGTGCAGATTGCTTTGTGTAGTATAGACATATTAACAAAGTTTGTTCTTATAGTCCATGAACACAGGATGTCTTTCCATCTCTTTGTTTCATCTTCAATTTCTTTCAGAAAGAAAGCATTTTATAGTTTTCAGAATATAGGTCTTTCACCTCTTCGGTTAGGTTTATTCACAGGTATCTTTTTTTTAAAGATTTTATTATTTAGTTCAATTGTCAGTGGGATTGTTTTCTTAATTTCTCTTTCTACTGCTTCATTATTGGTGTGTAGGAATGCTACAGATTTCTGTGCATTGATTTTGTATCCTGTGACTTTAGTGAATCTGTTTATGAGTTCTAGCAGGTTTTTGATAAAGTCTTTCAGGTTTTCTATGTATAGTATCATGCCATCTGCAAATAGTGAAGGTTTTACTTCTTCCTTAATTTGGATTCCTTTTATTTCTTTCCGTCTTTGATTGCTGTGGCTAGGACTTCTAGTACTATGTTGAATAAAAGTTGTGAGAGTGGACATCCTTGTCCCATGCCTGACCTTAGAGGAAAGGCTCTCAGTTCTTTCTCATAAAAAGTGGGTGAGCCTGGTGGTGGGTATTATGGAGGGTACGTATTTCCTGGAGCACTGGGTGTGGTGCATAAACAATGAATTTTGGAACACTGGAATAAAATAAAATAAAATGGGGGAAAAATGAAGTTAGCTGTGGGTTTTTCATATATGGCCTTTTTTGTGTTGAAGTGTGTTCCCTCTACACGTACTTTTTTGAGGGTTTTTATCATGAATGGATGTTGTACTATGTCAAATGCTTTTTCTGTGTCTATTGAAATGATCACATGGTTTTTCTTATTGATGTTATGTATGACATTGATTGGTTTGCAAATTTTTAACCATCCTTGCAACCCAGGAATAAATCCCACTTGATTGGTGAATGATTTTTTTTCAAATTTTTTTTGGATTTGGTTTCCTAGGATATTGTTCAGGATCTCTGCATCTGTGTTCATCAGAAATATTGGCCTTATATAGCAATGCTTTTAAGATAAAAGCAGCAACACAAATTCGCACAGATTATATGAGGCACAGAAACAGGATTATATAATGTAGGAACTCTGGTATAAATGAAGAGATTGGACCTTGAATCTCTGTGGGTTTTATTTTATATTATGACTTCAGTTCATAAAAAAGGTCTATGAACTTTTTAATCTCTTTAAGACTAATTTCCACAAATGGAAAAATGGAAAAAAATAATACCATGGGCAAGGTACTTAATAATTTGTAACTTTTGGTTGTACTTTAAAAATGGGGTAATGATAAAGCCTAATTCACAATGATATTCTAACTATTAAATGAAATAATTAATGAAAAATTTTAATATATATAATTATTCAAATGTGGATGTCTTCTGTCCTGGAAATTTGTCTGGTGTGTGATTTGCCTTATTCATGAGAAAGCTGCTAGTACAGCACTTGACACATGAGGCATGCAGTAAATGGTAACAGATAAATCTATTTTGAAGGAAAAGCAAAAGTAGCTTTCAATGTGAAAAGGAGAGTTGCTGATAAGGGATTTAAGCAGTTATAGATTTTATACTGCTTGAAATTCTCACCGTATTAATTTGAATTATTGAACTAAAAAATTGTGGAAACTTTTTATGCATTAGTTTAAATTAGTTTTATAAAAACTATGAATAATTGGATGGATTTATTAAGGGGAGGAATTGATGGTCCACCAGAGAATTGTATGGAGATATTGGGATATCTACAAGTCTAAGAACAAAGAAAAAGACCAAGGTAAAGTATGCCTAGCCCATATTTTGCACAGGCCAACCTTTTGTAAGAACAAAAATAATGCATTTTAAAAAAATTCTTAATAAATACACCTATCTAAAAAGTAGAACACTTAAAAAAACTTATTTTTATTGTTATAAAATAAACATAACAGAATTTACCATTTTAACCACTATTAAGTGTACAGTTTAATGGTATTAAGTATATTTATTTGACAGAAAGAGAGAGTATATTTTGAATTTGGGGTGTGTATAGTGGGACTAATAGTATTAGTGCCAGAAGATGGATCATTGTTGTCAACCCCAAGTAGATTTTCAGTGCTCTTCTGGTATTCACACAAATGCCTTTTGTGGCCAGTAGAATATGGCGGAAGTGATGGTGTGTAACATATAAGGCTAGATCATAAAAAGCGTTCTACTTTTTGCCTATATTTCTTGGATTGCTCACTGTGGGGTAAGCTGGCTAATATACTGTGAGGATATCCAGGCAGTCCATTGGAGAACTGAGGCCTCTGGTCAGCAGCCAGCACCAGTTTGTCAGCCATGAGAGTGAGTCCCTTTGGAAATAGATCATACTGCTCCTGTCAGGCTTTTTAATAACTATAGCCCCAGCAACATCTGACTGCAACTTCGTGGGAGAGCCTGAACTCAAGCCACCAAACTAAGGTGCTCTTGAATTCCTGTCCCACAGGCACTATGAGGGATAAGTGAACATGATAAGCCACTAAGGTTTGGGGTGACTTGTTATGCAATATTAGATAAATGGTATATAGCAGTTGATCTTAGGCATGTGCAGATCACTAATAAGCAGATACCTCAAGGGATCACCTATGCAGATTTCTGGAACTCTGCCTACAGAGCTTCGTCTTATCTAGAACTCTGCCCTGTGGATTCCTGCTCACTCAGCCTTCCTGAGCTCTAACCTCTAACCCTTTTAATTCAGCATAAATGCTGTGTTCTACCTGGATTCTTCCTCCTGTGCTATGGTCTAGAAACTAGGCAAAACAAACAAAAACGCACAGTATTTTAGGCTCACTTCCTTTGTTTTCCTTTTCTTTTTGAATCATAGTTCTGTGCTGCCTGTTCTCCAGTGGCTAAAAACAGGTGTTCCGTATGTTTTGTCTAGCTTTCTATCTGTTTATAATGGGAGGTCGTATCTCGTACTGATTATTCCAATATGGCTAGAAGTGGAAACTGAATTTAAAAATTTAGCATAGTTAATTTTCTTTTTTTTAAGCACTTCACTTTTTCCAAGTAATCAGGAAATGTTATAAATCTTATAAATTGAGAGTATAAATTTGGTGGCCTTTAAGTTTTCCTGTGTATTCCCACGTTACTTACTAACTTAGTGAGATTTCAACGTAAGAAGACAAATTTAAATCAATTTATAATTTGATTTACATTTATAATTTATAATTATATAAATTTATACACATTTAGAATTAGGTAAGTCTCATTCTCTTAAACATTCCACATATATAAGACACAGATTTATTAAGACAAATACCAAAATCATGGATTTGATTCTCCTAAATATTCTAAGTTCTAAATAATTACAAATTTTAAAAAATCCTTATGCACTGAGGCTAACCAGCAACAAATTATAAATTTCAGACAATCTGGAGGTTCCTTCCTGCATGGCTGAGCTTGCTTAACAACTAGTAAGTGACATGCCCAGATTGGCAGGGGCAGATTTGACGTTTCAAATTCCACTTACCAAACACATAAACTTTAAAACTTTTATGGATTGGTCTCTTGGCATTCTTCTATGTAGAACAGTTTCCTGGTCTATTTTGAAAAGTTTGTAACACCTAGTCAGCCTGCTGCAACACTTCACCAGATTTTGCATTTCTTTTACTCTTAAGATATTTTAGTGACTTCTGTCTGTTCCTCAGATTTGATATATTTGAGGGACTACTATATTTTTTCACATTATTCTTAATTGACTCTCAAACATTTGGTTCTAGGACACCTGAAGAGTATAGCTCTTATAAGTTATTGTATACCCCAAACAACTTTTGTTTGTGTGGTTATGACCTATTGATTTCTAACCTGTTAAAACAGAAAAATTGTTGAACTGCCATGTTGTACACGTGAAACTAAAGTAATATTGTGTGTTAGCTATACTTCAATTAAAAAACCCCAGAAAATCTAAAAATAATGAATGAATTTAAAGAAAACCATTACTAGTAACATGAAAAATAACCATATTTTTCAACTCAAAAATTAGTGACAAGAGGCATTATTTTACAGTGCTGCAAATCTGTCTAATATCTGCCTTAATAAAAGCTCAATTCTAATATCTGTTCTTGCATTCAGTATATTGGAATTTCTTGTTTTGATTGAATCAAAAGAATAAAACTCACCTTTACACAGGTATGTATTTGGGAAAGGGAGGACATTATAGGCCCCATAAAATAATAGGGTCCCACAAATCCTACAAATACTGAAATATTTGATATTTTGATCTTAATGCTTTGATTGTTTGCCATACTTCTTTTCGTTCTTCAAACCCCTAGAACAGCAACACTTCCTCAAATTGTTTTCAGCCTCCTAAGACTAAATGCTTCCAAGGCAGGGATCATTTTTATTTTATTGACCATTATATCCTTAGCCAGCATATCTTCTGAAATCATTTTATTTCAACTTTGTAATTAAATCTTAAAACAAAAAGGTGAAATATCTTGAGGTTATAATTTCTCTACATTTTACGGATGGGCTTTTAATTTCATTTTATTGGGGTACCTGGGTGGCTCAGATGGTTAAGCATCTGCCTTTGGCTTGGGTCATGATCTCCAGGTCCTGGGATTGAGCCCCATGTTGGGTTTTCTGCTCAGCAGGGAGTCTGCTTCTCCCTCTCCCTCTGCCTCTCCCCCTGCTTGTGCTCTTTCTGTCTCTTTCTCTATATCTCTCTCAAATGAATAACAATTTTTTTCATTTTATTTGAAGTAAGTCATTAAAAACAGCTGTCCTGGATTCAGATGTTTATATTTGAATCTATTTGGTTAGGATACCCTAAAAGTGGAAAGAACAAATTGTGATTTTGCACACAGAATTAGCTTATATGATTGTCTCCTTTCTTGTACCTCTTTTATCAGTTCTTTAAGAATAACAGATTAAGGGGGTAGGAGAAGAATAAATGAAACAAGATGGGATTGGGAGGGAGACAAACCATAAGTGACTCTTAATTTCACAAAACAAACTGAGGGTTGCTGGGGGGAGGGGGTTTGTTATGGACATTGGGGAGGGTATGTGCTATGGTGAGTGCTGTGAAGTGTGTAAACCTGGCGATTCACAGACCTGTACCGCTGGAGATAAAAACACATTATATGTTTATTAAAAAAAAAAAAAAAAAAGAATAACAGAGATCATAGTACATTTAACTTATCATGGCTGTAATAGAAAATTTGGAGAAACCTGGGGAGCTGTATGAAAGTACAAAAAATAGTGGCCCTGGTGGTAAAAATAAATCTAGAAAGTAATGGATAGTGCTTGAATATTCTTCAGAAGTTATAGCTGTTTGTTTATACTTTAAACAATTTTTAAACACTTAGGTTAAAAATATTTTTCTTGTAGAAATTAAAACATTGAAAATATACATTGCATTGTAGATTTTTAACTTTTCCTATAAATTATGTGCACTATGTATATTTTTTAAACCTACTGTTTTTTGTGTTTTTAGAGATTATTCATATGAAGATATAAATATATAGATCTTCCCCATTCTTTTAAGCAACTTATGATATTCTAAAATGTGATATTATGTTTAGCTATTTTATATATTCATAGACGGATGGATAGATATATACGTACATTTCACATCCTTCTACTTCCTGAATCACATTTATGTTTAGTGTTCATTTTTCATAGAGTATTCACTATTCAGGGAAACCCTTGTAGCTGCTGATGACAGTTATGCAAAAAAACCTGAATTTGTTTTCATGGTTTGAGGGAAGAGGGCAGTAGTTTGATGTATCTTACAAGTGAATATGGTGAACGGTGACTTGAGGTATTTTGTTACTATCAATGCTGGCAGGTGTATAGGCCAGCATATTGAGGGATTTCTTTGGCGGTAGTTGGTACTGGGCTTGTTCCTTCTCCCTACCTTCACAATCTAACGCCCACCCCGTTTTAAACACCTACCACAAAGCAAATGCTGTTTTTTATCTCTGAAACTCCTGAACCTCCCAGTTTATGGGGTGGGCAAACATAAAGAGAGAAATTATAATGCATGGTGGCATGTGTCATGGTATTGATAATGACAACTTGTGGAAACATGCAAGTTTGTGTAATCAACCTTGTAGAGTTTATTTATTCATTCAACAATTATTTGAGTAGTTGCTGTGTATTAGGCTGTGGGTATAACAGTTGAGGCAACAAACATGATCCCTACTTTAGGAGCATTCAGTCTTGGGAACCTGGGAAGAACTTAAGGGAGAACTGCTGCTGCTGTTGGATCATGAAGAATAAACACAAGTATGGCCAGTAAAATGGAAGGAATATTTTGAGACATTCTCTGTGTCATACAGGATATACATGCAGAGACTGAAAAGGGAGACTGAGTTCAGATATAAATGCCAATTAAGGAATTCAGATGTTTTTCTATAAGCCTTTTCTGAGCCAATTAGCATTTTTCAAATGACTGCTGAAATCTAAGACACTGATTTTGTACCTTGTTAAAAAATAATTACATTAATAATTTGATTCATTGGGGCACCTGGGTGGCTCAGTGGGTTAAGCCGCTGCCTTCAGCTCAGGTCATGATCTCAGGGTCCTGGGATCGAGCCCCACATTGGGCTCTCTGCTCAGCAGGGAGCCTGCTTCCTCCTCTCTCTCTACCTGCCTCTCTGCCTGCTTGTGATCTCTCTCTGTCAAATAAATAAATAAAATCTTTAAAAAAAAATAATTTGATTCATTATATTAATCTGTTAGATCTATTAGTCTACTAAGAAGGTAGTTGATGTAGCTCTGTGTGTGTGTGTGTGTGTGTGTGTGTGTGTGTGTATGTAATCGGGGATTTTTGTTTGTTTCAGCCTTTACCCTACGGAAAGAAAATCTGGAAATGTTTGAAGCACTTGGATTTTTAGCTATCAAACTTGGTGTGATTCCTTCAGATTTTAGTTATGCAGGCCTAAAAGACAAGAAAGCCATCACCTATCAAGCAATGGTTGTTAGAAAAGTGACTCCAGAAAGGTAATCTGACATTACTTTATAAGCTAGAACTTCACTTTCTTATTGCATCAAATAAATAAATGTGAGGTTAAAAACTCACTAGGAGCATATTAACTAGGAGCATGTTAACCTCCTATCAATAGTAATTAATTGATTAAAGGCTTATTGAGCAGCACATTCTGCCTTAATATGATTATCTTCTAAATAATGTTACGTCTTAAATTTATACTGAAAATATAGGTAGTTTTTTTTTTTTTTAAAGATTTTATTTATTTATTTGACAGATATCACAAGTAGGCAGAGAGGCGGGGGGCAGGGGGGGGGCGAAGCAGGCTCCCCGCCAAGCAGAGAGCCTGATGCGGGGCTTGATCCCAGGACCCCGGGATCATGACCTGAGTCAAAGGCAGAGGCTTTAACCCTTTGAGCCACCCAGGCGCCCCTGAAAATATAGGTAGTTTTAAGACAGAAACTTTGAGAAGTGGCAGATTTTAAATGATTGAATTGTACAGTTCATAAAATAACTTTGTGAATATAATCCTAGAGTAATTTTTTTTTAGTGCACATTTGTTGAAATAGCATTACCTTTTGAATACCAAAAAAATTTTTAGTGTTCTGATATAAATGGTTGTCTGGCAACTGTCATTTAAGCCTTATATTAATTTTTAAGTGTAATATTTAACAAGTCTATATGATTTATCATTTATAGGTTGAAAAATATTGAAAAAGAAATTGAAAAGAAAAGAATGAATGTGTTTAATATTCGATCTGTAGATGATTCCCTTAGACTCGGTCAGCTCAAAGGAAATCACTTTGATATTATCATCAGAAATTTAAGAAGCCAAATAAATGACTCTGCAAACCTGAGAGAAAGAATTTTGGAGGCAATAGAAAATGTTAAGGTAAGAAAATTCAATTTTAAAATAGTGTAACAGGAAAATCTTTGTAGGCCTTCTCTTTACGTTGAGGCAAAAAAGGGAAATTTCTTTTTCTTCTGTATCTTTTCTTTTTATATGCATGTCATTATTTTAAAAAATGACAATTAGGGCACTTTGGCTTATTTTTAATTTTCTTCTTGGTGCATTTTTTGTATTAAAAAACAAAACTTTAATGTAATTTAAAAAATAGAGTTATGAGGGGAAATCTATCTGCATAAGAAGAGAGGTGTTTTTTGTTGTTGTTTGTGTGTTTGTTTTTTTAGCATGTGCCATATAGAATAGTATTGCATTTTATTTATTTATTTATTTTAGATTTTTTTATTTATTCATTTGACAGAGATCACAAGTAGGCAGAGAAGCAGGCAGAGAGAGAGGAGGAAGCAGGCTCCCTGCTGAGCAGAGAGCCTGATGTGGGGCTCAATCCCAGGACCCTGGGATCATGACCTGAGTTGAAGGCAGAGGCTTTAACCCACTGAGCTACCCAGGCGCCCCTAGAATAGTATTTTAGGCAAAGGGATTAATTTGGGAGGAAATTTTGTTCAGTGATTTTTTTCCAGAACTCTTTGGTAAATAGTTATATTACTTATCAGAATTATGCACAATCTTTTTTTTTCTTTTCAATCTAATTGTGAATTTTTTTTCAATGCATACAAATGGTAAATCATACACATTTTATTATGTCTTACAATAATAACTATTTAAAATACATAAGTGACACTTTCCAGGCATCTCAATATGCCGTAGCCTTCAGTCTGATCATCTAGACTATGGGTTAGCAAGCTTTCTCTGTAAAGAACCAGATAATAAATAATTTTGGCTTTGTAAGCATATGGCCTCTGTTGCAACCACTCTTCTGCCCTTGTGTGGAAGCAGCCATAGATGATACATAAATGAATGAGCATGGTTGTGTCCCAGTAAAACTTTATTTACAAAAATAAGTGTTGGCCACATTTGACTTGTGGGCTGTTAGTAGTCTGACAACCCCTGATCTAGACTAGTAATCCTCAACCTGGAGTGCTTCTAGGCAATCTCAGCAGTCAGTCCCTACCCCCGAACCAATTAAATAGGAACATTTGGGAATGCAGCTTTGGTTATTAGTATTTTTTAAAAACTCCCTAGGTGATTTTACTCTACAGCTAACACTGAGAAACACTGATCTAAGATCTTGACCACAAAGACCTTTTTACACAATTTTATTCCTCTCCAAAGGAAAACAAATAAGCAAAACTGGTTTTTAAATCACTATTATGCCTATGGTCAGGAAAATGACTTCAAACTAAAGATTTTCTAAATTCATATTTATTTGTGATTGTATATTCTTTTTTTTTGGTTAGTTTTTTTAATTTTTAAAAAAATTTTTTTATTTTTTTATAAACATATATATATTTTTTATTTTTTATAAGCATCTAATATATTTTTGTCCCCAGGGGTACAGGTCTGTGAATCGCCAGGTTTACACACTTCACAGCACTCACCTTAGGACATATGCTCCCCAGTGTCCATAACCCCCCCCAACCCCCTCCCCCCATCAACCCTCAGTTTGTTTTGTGAGATTATGAGTCACTTAGGTTTTGTTTCCCTCCCAATCCCATCTTGTTTCATTTATTCTTCTCCTACCCCCCTAATACCCCATGTTGCATCTCCACTTCCTCATATCAGGGCGATCATATGATAGTTGTCTTTCTCCGATTGACTTACTTCGCTAAGCATGATACCCTCTAGTTCCATCCACGTCATCGCAAATGTATATGATGGCTTTTTTCCTTTTTTCCTATACCTACCTAAACTTTTTCCTCCCTCAAAAAATTGTTGTTAAATGATATTCCTTTAACAAAGGAGAGAGTTTCTTTGGACTCTGATAGCATTTATTGCCTATCTTTCATTTGGAATTAATGAATATACAACTGCCTATTATAAAATCTCCATTAAGAATGATTTTAACTTTAGCCAACTTTCCTTTAATTCTGAAAATAAGAAGTCTTTGAAGTTTTGTTTTAGAGGGTTATAACTTTGACTTCTAGTAACTTTTGTTATATCCAGTCCTAAATAATTTGAAGAGGTACTTAAAGCTCTTTTGGTTATTCTAGAGTATTATTTGATACTATTTTTCTAAATTTGAATAAAAATTGTTATGAGAAATACTTATAAAGTGAGCATGAAAAATTCTTATCTTTGAAGAAACCATCTGGACCCAGCATTTTCTTTGTGAGAGCATGTTTATCCCCTGACCAGTGTCTTTAAGGTTGCAGAGTAATTTACAATTTTCTATTCCTGGGGAAGTGATGCCATGTCATTGTCTTGGCCCAGGCCTTCAGAAACTGAGATAACTAAAAAATGAATTGTTATGTATAAAGGAACCAAGACTTGCTGGGTTTGAAGTAAATTTATTTCTTACTCCCGGCATCACCAGACAGCAGAAGCATCTCAAAATCAGAAAGAGCTTCAGGGCAAAAATCAGATCCAGTCCTAGGTAAACAGTTTGTTTTGGAACTTTGCTGGTTTAGCACTGGAAGACCTGCATCCCACAATCCCTTCAGTAATGTGAATGGAAAGCTGACATACTCTTAAAGGTTTTTCGTTGGTCTTATTTTCTATCTTTTAGTTGTTTGGTTTTCTCCTTTCTATTCTTTAACTTTATAGCATTTCTCAGACCATTTGGCTCTTATGTGTGTATCGGTGATTATAATATTCTTTTATTAAAATAAATACGAAGAGAAAGACTTGGTTACATATTCTGACACAGTAATTATACTTATTTATTGTAGTCACTTTGGGTTTATGACAAAGAACCATAGACTTGGTGACTTTTAAATAACGAGAAATTTATTTCTTAGAGTGCTAGAAGCTGGAAGCCTGAGATCAGGGCGCCAGCCTTATCTTCTTGTTGTATTCTCACGTGGTGGAAAGAGAGGGAGTTAGCTCCATGTTCTTATCTTATAAGGAAACTAATTCCATTCATGAGAGCTCTATCCTCATGACCTAATTAAAAAGGTCATGTGTCCCAATGTCCTCACCTCTAACTATCATCTCATTGGAGGTTAAGATTTTAACATATGAATTTTGGGGGGAACACAGGCATGTGATCCATAACAATATAGTTTTTTTTTTTTTTTAAGATTTTATTTATTTGTTTATTTGAGATAGTAAGCATGCGGGAGAGCACAAGTAGGGGGAGAGGGAGAAGCAGACTCCCCACTGAGCAGGGAGAAGGCTGTGGGACTTGATCCCAGGGCCCCAGGATCATGACCTGAGCCAAAGGCAGACACTTAACTGACTGAGTCACCCAGGTGCCCCACAATATTCTTCTAATTAATTGGTTTTCTTGTATTTGTAGAATAAAGGATTTGTAAATTACTACGGGCCGCAGAGATTTGGGATGGGAAGGAAAGTTCACACCGACCAGATTGGACTGGCTTTGCTGAAGAGTAAAATGGTATGGATTTAAATAAAACTATGATCTGATTTGTTTTGTCGGTTGTACTTACTACATAAGCCAGCCCTTTGCTTTCTTAACCCACCATATAAATGCATATACACACACACACATACATATACCGTATACTACATTATTGAACACTTTTGAGCAGCTACTATATTTTTAGTATCACGTTATAATAAAGCAAACTGTATGCAGTGTCCCTGTATTTATTACTTGTTTGAGACTTAACGGAGAATTGGCCAGCACTCACCAAATTCTTAAAAAAAAACTTAATAGAGGATTTAGAGAAAACTTAACACCCTACAGTTCCAAAAATATGACATCAAATTGTATAAAATTCCTGTTTCTCATAACATTTAAACAAAAGCTCTTCTGTCTTTTAAACTTCATATTCCATGCTTCTCATTTTTGTAAAGTTTGCTAGAGCATTATCAGTTGTTGCTGTGTAACGCACTACTCCAAAACTGAGTGGCCTACATTGACAGACATTTACTGTCTCAGTGTTCCTGAGGGTGAGGCATCTGGGAGCAGCCTCGCTGAGTGTTGGTGCATCAGGGTCTCACATGGTGTGCAGTCACACTATCAACCAGGCTGCAGTCTTTGGAGACTTGAATGGGCATAGAGAACCTGCTTTCAAGCACATTCCTATGGTTGTTGGCAGGAAGCTTTAGTTTCTCACCATAGGGCTACTCATGGAGTGACTTCCCTGAGAGAGGAGTCCAGGAGCACAGAAGAGTGAGAGAGACCATAAGACCATAACATAAATCTCAAGTCTTTTATAATGTAATCTGGAAAGTGACATCTTTACTCCTGCTTTATCCCACGTAATGGGCACACAGACCCACCCTGATAAGAGTGGGGGAGGACTGTGGTAGGCATGAGTAGCAGCCAGTGGAGATCATCGGGGGCCAACTTAGAGGCTGGCCCCACAGCTAGAAAGCCATATTTTCTTTCCTTTGAAGCATCCCCTCCCCAACTTGTACATTCTCTGCATCTCAATTTAAATTTTCATCCCACTCCCAAGAAAAATTGAATTCTTCTTATCTTGTGACCTCAAAGCGTCTTGGACTTCCCATCTTAGGTTTTAGTAAATTTTACTGTTATTGTTTATTTGGTCTTTTCCAGTAAACAAACATCATATCTCTCTTGCTCAACACTCTATCCCTAGTACAGTGCACAGTGCCTAGCACATAGCAGATGCTTAGTAATATTTATTTGAATGAATTAGCTTCTGAATATATATTTGAATGAATGAATGAATACTGTAAGATTGAGTATAATTTTAGGTTGCATAATCTGTCTTAAGATCCTTTCCTATTCTAAAACATATACTTAGAAATCACAGTGCTGGAGACCTATAATAATAATAATAATGATGCAGGACCTCATAGAGACATTAAAAAAAGAAGCATCTTTTTATCTATTTAGTTTTTAAAAGAAAACATTAAAGTTGGCAAATTTTTTTTTATTTGAGAGAGAGAGCGCATGAGCAGGGCAGAGGGGCAGAAAGAGAGAGAGAAAAGCAGACTCCCTGCTGAGCAGAGAACCCAATGTGGGGCTTGATCCCAGGACCTTAATATCATGATGTAAGCCGAAGGCAGACATTTAAGTGACTGAGCCACTCAGGTGCCCCATAAAAATTTCAACAACCATGACTCTTTTTCTTTCTTTTGCAAATTTTTTTTTTATTTTATTTATTTATTTGACAGACAGAGATCACAAGTAGGCAGAGAGAGAGAGGAGGATGCAGGCTCCCCATGGAGCAGAGAGCCAGATGTGGGGCTCGATCCAAGGACCCTAAGATTATGACCTGAGCCAAAGGCAGAGGCTCTAACCCACTGAGCCACTCAGGTGCTCCTCTTTTTCTTTTCTTAAGGATTTTATTTATTTATTTGAGAGAGAGAGGGTAAAAAAAGAGGGAGAGCACAGAGAGAGAAGCAGACTCCCCGCTGAGCAGAGAGTCTGACGCAGGGCTCGATCCCTGGACCCTGAGTTCATGACCTGAGCTAAAGACAGATGCTTGGGACACCTGGGTAGCTCAGTAGGTTAAGTGGCTGCCTTCGGCTCAGGTCATGATCCCAGCGTCCTGGGATCGAGGACTTCATTGGGCTCCTTGCTCGGCAGGGAGCCTGCTTCTTCCCCTGCCTCTGCCTGCCACTCTGTCTGCCTGTGCTCGGTTGCTTTCTCTGACAAGAAAGAAAGAAAAAGAAAGAAAGAAAAAAAAGAAAGAAAAGAAAAAAGAAAGAAAAGAAAAGAAAGATGCTTAACTGACTGAACCACCCAGGCACCCCAATTGGCAATTAAAAAAAAGATTTTGGCAATTATTTGTAAGATCAGACAATTCCAAGACTTGAGAACAGAAATGAAATTAGTGGTTCACCATTTCCCTATGCTTTCTTCCTTCCCAATTTTTGTTATATATGTTGGTCAAGTCTGAGTTTTATATGATTACTTCATACTTGCATTCTAAGCTTGATGATAGAGGTAAAGAATGACAGAAGTAGAACTATGGAAATGATGGGTACTTTTTCCAGTCCATAATATTTTAAACCTATGTATGAAGTTGCTTTATGCAGATCTATTTCCAAATATAGTGCTGTTTAATTTTTGAAAACTTGAAGATAAAATTACAGTTTCAAATACTATTTGTTAAGTGCCTATTCTTTTATGGTATCAGAGAATTTGAATCTTTTTAAAAAAGTAAGTAATTTGTCATTGTTGTTTAACATATGTTTGCTTGCTTGATTTTTAAAGGTGGAGGCTATAAAATTATTTCTTACACCAGAAGATCTGGATGATCCTGTAAATAGAGCAAAGAAATATTTTCTTCAAACTGGTATTTAAAAATTTCTTTACCCTATACATAGTCATGCAAATACATAATACAAATGTTATGTCAGCAGGAGGGCATTTATTGCTTTGCTACATAAATGTGATAAGAAATAGCTCGTAATATATTATACATTAAGTAATTTTATTAAATGTCAAAGACTCATTTTTGGTCAGATATCCAGGACTTCTGTCTGTTTTAACTCTTGCTTGGGGGTAGGAGTGAGGGGAGAAATAGCTTCTTAGTTTTTCTAATCCTCAGAGGAGGAGTGCCTGGGTGGCTCAGTGGGTTAAAGCCTCTGCCTTCGGCTCAGGTCATGGTCCCGGGGTCCTGGGATTGAGCCCCGCATCAGGCTCTCTGCTTGGCGGGGAGCCTGCTTCCTCCTCTCTCTCTGACTGTCTCTCTGTCTACTTGTGATCTCTGTCTGTCAAATAAATAAATAAAATCTTTAAAAAAAAAAATCCTCAGAGGAGTTAAGAATTTCAAACTCTACACTGGTACCAATGAAAGTATACACTACAACTAGAGGAGACTTAAAAACAAACTACATAAAAGTTTATGTGTTATATCCAGTACTTTGTGCACTGTTTTTGGTTTAGTTGCCCATTCAGCCCAGTCAATTTGGACACTTTAGCTCAATATCATGGTTTAAATGCAGAATGTTTCCTGGGAAGCACCAAAGAAAATGGTTATGAATTTGGGTTCTACAGTCAATCCATATGGGTTTGACTCTCAAAATGACTTACGTGTTTCTATCTATTTAGAGTTCTGAGAATATAATTTCTTTATGACAATGATTCCTAAACTTGAGTGAGCATAAGAAACACCTGGTACATTTATTAAAATGAGGATTCCTACCTGAATAAGCATCTTTGCAGTAGAGTTCGTTAATTTAATTTTAAAAAGCATCCCAGTAGCAAGGCCTGTTAGCATCCTTGATGGATCCAGCCCTTTCTTACTCAAAAGATTCTGTATAAATGTTCATAATAGCTCTTTAAAAATATGTAGGCTCAGAGGTTTATTTAGTGGTTTTGTTTTGTTTTTTAAGAAATCCGAATAATTACAAGTTAATTTATCTCCATTTTGAAGTAGGTATTACTAATGTGCTTTCTGCTATTTTTTTTTTAAAGCAGGGAAAGTGAATGGAGAATGGACCATATGATTAATGACCTTTATTAGACAAACAAACTCTTCAGGTGTAGCCAGGTTTATAGTTGGTGCTAAACGTCATCTTCATATTCAAGTTTATAAGAGCATAGTTCATTGCCTCTCATTTAGCAGGTATAATAAAAGTCTTTATAACTGGCCTGTAAAAGAAAGTGGCTGACTCACTGATTTTCTCTTTATTTCAGAGGATGCTAAAGGTACACTTTCCTTGATGCCTGAATTCAAATTTCGGGAGAGAGCACTGTTGGAGTCGTTGCATCGCTTTGGCATGACCGAGGAGGGTTGTATCCAGGCATGGTTTTCTTTTCCCCACTCAATGCGCATATTCTACGTTCATGCATATAGCAGCAAAATTTGGAATGAGGCAGCATCTTACAGACTTGCAACCTATGGATCAAGAGTAGTAGAGGGTGATTTGGTCTGTTTGGATGAAGATATTGATGAACATTTCCCAAATAGTAAAGTAAGTGTCATTTCATCGAAGTTGCCAAAGAGTAGTTACCACACTGGGAGCATTAATTTTCAGAAGCCTTGACTTGAGAAACAATTTAGAACTAAGCATACGTTTTATATTTTTATTTGTATTTGCTTATCATCTGCTTCTATGCCAAGGGCTAAGTCTTAACACATGTTTGTAAATGGTAAAATAAAAATAGTCAGTGGCATTAAGTGAAAGGTCCAAAGATAGTAAACTTTCCTTTAAAGAATATGTTTTAAAGAATTACAGAAGTAATGCACAAAATAGTATCATTAAAAGTGAAAAATCAAAAGTTTACATATGAAGCTGTCATCTTCTCACCACTCTTATTGTCTTTCACTCTCTTGTGTCCAGGAAATCAACCTCTGTTTTTTGGCATGTGTCCTTCTAGACCTTTTTCTATGCTTTCCCATAAATACATAGGAGAGTATATTTTTATTCTATTAGCTAATACTGAGGAAAGAAAAGGAGGGCTTAGATAAAGCTCAGAACTTAAAATACGAAAAAGAATATAATTTTTTATAATAATGGTATATGGGGTGTGTAATATGTATATTTCTTTTATATAAATGTGATTTTATATAATTGCAATTTCAAAGCTTGCTTTTTTCCTCTTAACAACTTATATTACATAAGTTGATTCTTTCTTTTCCTCTCTATCCAACTAGTGCTTTTATCTTTGTGGGTTTAAGCAGTTTGAATAATAAAACTGAATTCCATAAATCAAGTAAAGAAGCATATTTTGTAATATAATGCAAAAAGAACATTATCTCAGTCTTACAAAGATGTTATAAACGTGGAGGGATTTGAGTAGTGCTTTCATATGTAACATCATAACATCACTGAATTTTAGATGAGAAGAGGATCTTAGAGACCCTCTTTTTTAACTCCTGTTTTATAGAAATGAAAATCAAGACCCAGATTACATGACACAGGTAACAGAATTAAAAGACCTAGCCTGAGTTGATCTCTACCAGAGAAATCATGGAGTACAGAAAAGGTGTTAGCATCTAGAGAGAGAACATGCCCAATTTTTCAAAAATGAAGAAACATAGACTCTGAACTTTATGGAAAGGGAGCTTTATCTGAATTAATGGTAGAAGTCTGGATGTATGAATTAAGGTTTTTGTTTATTTGTTTGATTGGTTGGTTTTTGTTTTGGTTTTAAGTAATGGAGATCTTCCTCCAACCAACGTAAAGAAAAGTGGACAGGAATTCATTGGCTCTCAAAATGGAGACTCTGACTAATTCAGACACAGCTATATCCGGTCTCCTAAATAATCTGTCTCTATTTTCTTCATCTACCAACTATGTTTTCCTCTGTTAGAGCCATTCTTGGTCTGGCTTGTTCTTTCGCTGACAAGATGGTTATGAGCATCTCTGAGCTTATTTCTTACAACTCGTATTCAAGAGGACTTTTCTTCCCAACGGAATAAAGGCCATGGAATTAAGTCTCTCTGGCTAGGAAAGACCGCTTCCTGTGGACTAGAGTATGTGATCGGCTAAGCCTGTGTTCCAAAGGATCCTCCCTGGAGCCATATCACCCAAATCATGTTGGAGAACCAGGAGGGAAGCTCCCTGAAAATGAGGGTGCTCCTATCGGAAAAGAGAGTAATGACTGAGCAAGCCAGAGTGACCGATGTTTGCTTCACTGTTTCATTTAGCGGGTGGCTTATGAGTATTTAGATAAGAAAGTGATCTTGGGGAGCATAAATCACTAAGAATGGTCATTTAACTGAGATAAAATCTGAAACTATAAAAAGAAATCTAGCAGAATTATAGGTCTTATTTTACCTCGTGAATGGAAGAGATGTCAGTGATTCCCTTTGGATAAATTGTGAAAAATCATGTTTTTTTCACACATTCCAGGAATCATGTTCATTTAAATATTACCTGGGCTACACATTATTTAGTAAGTTAGCCATTCCTAATTCAGAGTTTCAGAAGTCTCTGACAAGACCTGGTAATAAGCTCTGAAATACATGTCTTATAAGACTTCTTTGTTCAAAGTAACATTTGCAAGGACAGTTTTGTGATCAGAACTGTATCTGTTTTCTTTTGGAGCTGTAGGAGAAAGGAGAACTTTTTCTCCTTCATATCTTGCTAAGTTTCCTTCTATTAGAAAAAAAAAGTCTTTATGTAGTTTAGGACCAATCATTTATACTTTATTATTAAGCACTGCAAATAGAAAAGGCAGGACTTAACAGGCCAAACATGTTAAAACATGACAGTACAGTTTCTAATAAATGGTGTATGGGGCATGTAATGTTGTGCATCTACAGTTAAAAATTGTAGGAAACTAATCTGATTCTTGATAGGTTTACTAGACTAACAGTTACACCTTTACTTCAAGTAACTTGGTAGATTTTCTTTTAATTTCTCTGTGAACAAGATAGAGAAATGTGTCAGACAATTAAAAAGTTAGATGAATTCCTAGTTGGAGAATAGCCATATACCCAAAGCATGTTTGCTAATTAAAAAAACCAGTTGATATCAACCTGGAGGGAACTCTCTAACCACAAAACATGGTCTTCTGTACTTGACCATGTTTTTCAGTATTTTCAGATTTTGAGAATCACCACTTCTCAGAGAGCATTATGGCACTTGTTGGCGACAGAGATGGGGGCAGTTTCCCAGAGGCAGATTTTTGATTCAGCTCAACAGCTTTGTAAGTTAGGAAAGGCTGCTGGTGATGAGGTGGAAATGTCGCCTTGGGGTGTCACGCCACCACCATTCTCTTTGTGCTCCTATTTCAGTTCTCAGTGGTCAAAACAGCAAGTATCATTCTAATTTTTATGTAGTCTAGAAACAAATTGTGAAAATAATCTTGTTTGGGTATATGTTTATTCAGCATAGTTATACATAACGGAAAATTGAGGCAATGAATCATCCATATTTTTGTCATGTTTTTAAAATATAGGTTCATCTAGTAACTGAGGAAGAGGAATCAGCTGACATGTATGCAATCCATCAGGTAAATTTGTTTAAAAATTGGTATCGCTTAGGGCGCCTGGGTGGCTCAGTGGGATAAAGCCTCTGCTTTCGGCTCAGGTCATGATCTCAGGGTCCTGAGATCGAGCCCCGCATCGGGCTCTCTGCTCAGCAGGGACCCTGCTTCCCTCTCACTCTCTGCCTGCCTCTCTGCCTACTTGTGATCTCTCTCTGTCAAATAAATAAATAAAATCTTTAAAAAAAAATTGGTATCGCTTAGATCTACATGTAGATACTGTATCCAAAAGACAAAATGTTGATCGGTTCTCTGCCCCCACCTTTTTCTTTTAACTACTTCATAATTCAGGTAGAATTTATATACAGTAAAAAATCACTCTTCTCAGTTTATAGTTCTAAGAGTTTTGATAAACATACAGTCTTGTGACTACCAGAGAAATTGAGATAAATAACATTTTCATCTCTCCCTAAAATTTCCCTGTGCCCCTTTTTAGTCAACCCCCACCCCCAGCTCCAGCCCCCACTCCTGAGCGGTTCATTCATTTTCTGCCCCGTTCATTTTGCCCTTGAAAGAATGTCAAATAAATGGAATCATATAGTTTGTGGTCTTTTATGTCTGGCTTCTCTCAATTAGCATAATGAGTTTGAAATCCACTCATGTTGTATGTATTTGAATTTTTTACCTTGTTCCCTTTTCTGACTACTTTTTGGTATTGTTTAAAATCATCAGCAAAGGAGGAAAGCCCTATAATCTGTAGTGTCTTTTCATAAGGACCTGAGCAAAACACTATTTGGTGCTACTGGTTCACTCTCATGTTTCTAAATAAGTAAGAAGAATGTAAAGTTATCAACCAAAATACCATTTATGTCACTGCGCAGTAGGGGTTATTTGTTATAGAAACAATATGCTTTTAGGATTATATGACTACATTGAGATTAAATCTTTGTCGGCTAATTAAATGTACCCAAACCTCTTGTTTCCTCTCTTCTACATTAATAATAGTTTGTCTAATAATATCTGACTTGAGCTGGTTACCTTGGTTGTTGTGAGTCCTTCTTGATTTTAGTTAGCTCTTTTCTTTGCCTGGCAGCGTTTAAAATAATCAAAGTAGTGTAGCATTCAATAGCATGTTTCAGGCTGATTGTAATGTTTATATCCTGAGACATAATGATCATGTATCAGTGACTGACTCCCTTTCTCTCTGTTTCTTTCTCTCTCTTTCGTTCTTTCCCTCCTTCCCTCCCTCCCCTTCTTTTCTTTCTTTCTTTCTCTCTTTCTTTCTAAGGTTTTATTTATTTATTTGAAAGAGAGGGAGAGAGAGGGAGCACAAGCAGGGGGAGTGGCAGAGGGAGAGGGAGAAGCAGGCTCCCTGCTGGGCAGGGAACCTGACATGGGACTCCAGGATCCTGAGATCATGACCTGCACCGAAGACAGACATTTAACCAACTGAGCCACCCAGGCGCCCCAGTGATTTTCTTATATACCGAATCTTAGTGATACAATGATCATATATTTTTCTGAAGGCTGTTTCATGTAATTTTGTCCTTCTTCTGCACAGGTGGTTCTTCCAGTGCTTGGATATAATATTCAGTACCCGAAGAACAAAGTTGGGCAGTGGTACCAGGAAATACTTAGCAGAGATGGACTACAGACATGTAGGTTTAAAGTACCGACTCTGAAACTCAATGTTCCGGGATGCTATAGACAGATACTGAAACATCCCCATAATGTCTCATACCAACTAATGGAAGAACATGATACTGATGTCAAAACTGAAGGTTCTCACATTGATGAAGCAAGTTTATCTCTTTTGATCTCTTTTGATCTTGACGCTTCATGTTATGCAACAGTCTGTCTGAGGGAGATAATGAAGCATGACTTTTAGAACCACTACCCTTGATATAACCATATATATGTCACTCTTTAAAAGGAAGGAAGCTAAAATTTCCTGTGCACCTTCCATGTGCTAGGAGCCTTATAATTTTTATCTCCTGTGATTACAAAACATCCTGCTGGAAGTAGGAGTTTGGTGCTGATGTTCTAGAGGACTTATAGCTAGTAAGCAGCAGGATCTGGATTTAAGACCCTAAAGCCCATGTTCTTTCTATTATCTAATATATCAGTGATGTTTATTCTGTGCTATAAAATTTATAATCTTTCTTGACTATTCAAAACAAATAATATGGCAAGATAACATGGAGGAAAAAAAACATGTTTGAAGTAATGTTTATATCCCCTAGCTCCTTGCTTAGAATGTAGATGAAACTAGATTGTAATATGGTTGGAGAGAAAGAGAAATGAAGCATTTTGTTAATTATTATCATCATTCTTTTCTGTTTTTGAAATTATTGATCAGAATAACACATTAGGGAAATATAATCCCTATGTTTATGATAGCTACCCCAGGGTAGCTTACCCCTTTATGAGATAACTTATCTTCAGTGAAGATTGAAATAAAATTTTTCATACAATTTCTTTATCTCAGTGTATGTTGACCCTCTTGACTTTCTGTGATATTTTTACCTATTACCTAAAACATAGATTTTAGAGTCAGACACACCTGGGCTCAGACTCCAGCTCTGACACTTTCTAGTGACTTTGGGTATGTTATTGATTCTTTTTGAGACTTACTTAAAGAATCAAGATAACACCAGCCTCCTAAGCAACAAGTAATAGGATTGTCTCCACCTTATATGTTGCTAGAGGGAGAAAACATTTTGCCCATTTGAAGACTGAATTATTTGTCCCACATCATAAATCATCCTTAACCACTTTATATCAGTTAAATTTGGGAGGGATGGTGTATATTGATCAGGAAGAGCCAATCATTCTTTCATTGCTGGTGGTATAACATGATGATGAAATTTAAAAAGCAGTAGAGAGTATTATGTGTCAGTAATGTTGCACTTTTATATACTCAAGTCAGTGAAACTGTTTTGGGTATAGTAGCATAAGGAAATAAAATTCAAAAGAAGGAAGAGTCCTATGCAATGCAAAATTGCTCATTGCAACATTTTTATATAAAATGAAAGAAATAATAAATAGTTTGAAAGTCCAGCATTAGACAACTAAAGTAAGTAAAATGAGATGTATTGACTTGATAGCAAAATATGTACTTATTAAAAACGATGATAAAAGTTTAGGTATGTGAGAAAGTGTTGCCGCTCAAAAATAAACATAGATATTACAAATGCAGTACACACACTGACCGCAGCTTTTACAAAGAAAGGCGCTTTGGCATAGTGATTAAAAGCATAGTTACTGTGGAAAAACTCCCCAAGTTTGAACCTTGGCTCTGCCACATGGCATGGGGCCTTGAGACAAGTTACTTAAGCTTTGTGTGCTTTGGTTTCAACATCTGTGAAATGAGAATGGCAATGTACCTACCTCATAGGATTATTGGGAGGATTTACCAAGTTCATGGATGTAAAGCAGCTTAGAGAAGTACCTGCTACTTAGTTATTGTTAAATAAGTATCCACAAATGCAAGTTTGGAAAGGAAGAGAAAAAAACATGAAAATAAGTTTCTTTTTTGTCATTATATATTTTAATAATAAATAAATCTCAGAACACAAAAATTGGACTTTGTAGTACCATTGGATTTTAAAATTACCTTTATCGTCTTAATATTTATTGAAAATAAAATGCTATATTACATAGTAAAAAAATTTAGAAAAAAATGTGCCATTTCATATACGAAATTATATCCTGCAAATGTAATCAGAAAGTGAATTATGTAAATTATTCAATTCTACATGTCTCTTAAATATTGAGTAGCAATTAGAAAATATGAAAGCATTAAAATGTGCTATCATTGATATTATTTTCTTTGCCTGTAGATGGCACTATAATTTTAGATATCTTATCTATTTAATACTGGGCCATACATAAGGAAAGACTCCCTAAACTTATTTCAAGTCACCATAAAATGTATAAAATGTTGATGTGGAAAGTTATTTTATATGCCTATAATATTTGACATGTTAATTTTTATTCAGCATTAGACCTTAAATATACTTTGGACCATATGATGACCAGTCACCTAGCTCTTTGCAGTTTTCCTGGGCATTTCAGGCCTTCAGAAGGATAATCTTTGGATTAGTTTTAATTTTCAAGGTTCCTTTTGAAACTAAGCATTAGTGCCTCGGGATTACTAAGATAAAACAAATTGAGGTCTTTTTATTAAGCTAAAAACACTGATGCTTTTGACTTAGGCAAAACTGAAAGTCATACGCAAGTTTCAATTCGAGTAACATTTATTGTTTGTGGTACCGGCACTTTGTCACTTCTCTCATTTTAATCCATGTACCCAAGCTTTAGGTAGGTAATATTTTCCCTGATTTTGCAGATGGGAAAATATCTGAGTGGTTTACTGACCTATCCAAGGTCAAACAAGATAGTATGTGGCTAAACTTGATTATGCTTTGTAGATCAGTACTGTTTTCATCTACCTAATATTTGCTTTCTGAAAACAAGTTTTTGTTAATGACTTTCATTTTCACTGACTCAGTATTACTTGCCACTGATTAATAGGCATATTGGAGCATGTCTTGAGAGAAACAAGGTTCCATTTGAGATTCTGAGACCAAAATAAAAGTAGAGGAGATCCATCAGGAAATTCCCAGATCATTTGGAATATTTTCCAGAATGCTTTGGGACTTGTATCATATTGATATACAAAGTTATTGCGGGTCATAGGAGGTTGTTTTAGGTGGTACCTGGCACAATATTAATATTGAAAAAGAACAGTGGGAGAGTTGCTCCTTTTTTAGAAAACCTCATAAAACACTAACAATAGTGTCCAGCACCTAAATTCTCAATGTCAGCTACTGTGCTATATGATGAAAGTTTTACATTGGAATGGTTAATGACTTCCCCTTGAGATCTGATCTGACTCTGTCTTAGCATAATTATAATTCAGCACACTTTTAGATTTATTTATTTTTGTAAATGGAAATAACTTTCTAAATCTGGGAATTGAGCAATTCATTCAAATTAAGATCTTTAAGAACTATCTAGGTCAGTGTTTTCAATATTTTCCACCTGGGAACTACCTTTAGGAGACCGAAAAAAAAAATGAAGCCCCAGGTTAACAGTGAAGTTTCCTTGCATTAATGTAAGGATAGAAAAAGAGGTTGGAGGAAGATATGGAAGTGAGGAAAATGGGACTTCTCATTTTTTTTCTCAATTTACCTCTGAAGTGTTTGGATTTTTAAGTAAGAATATATTTGTGTATTAATTTTGCAGTTAAAAACCTTGAAGAAGGGGCTCCGGGGTCGCTCAGTTGATTAAGTGTCTGCCTTCGGCTTGGGTCATGATCCCAGAGTCATGGAATCAAGTCCTGCATAGGGCTCCCTGCTCATTGGGGAGTCTGCCTCTTCCTCTCCCCTTCCTCCCCAGCTCATGCTCTCTCTTACTCTCCCTGTCTCTCTCTAAATAAATAAATAAAAATCTTGAAGAATAAGTAAATAAAATTAAAAAAAATAATAATGCCCTGAAGAATACTTAAGGCTCAAAGAGGGTAAGGTAAGGGAATTAGTGGATTAGGATGGTATTATTTTCAGAATGGATCTTGTCAGAAGGAAATTTATGTATTATGTGTTTAATGGCACTAATGGCAGTTAATACAAATAGTTTAAAGTTTTAGTGCCTTTGCTGTGGGTTTTGCTTTCAAAAGGTTTGCTTTCAAGGGTTAACTTGAGGTCTTATGATATTGTCTTAGTCTGTTTTTCATGAGCCCTTCTGCTTTACCTATTTTTTTTTTAAAGATTTTATTTATTTATTTGACAGAGATCACAAGCAGGCAGAGAGGCAGGCAGAGAGAGAGGAGGAAGCAGGCTCCCCACAGAGCAGAGAGCCCGATGCGGGGCTTGATCCCAGGACCCTGGAATCATGACCTGAGCCGAAGGCAGAGGCTTTAACCCACTGAGCCACCCAGGCGCCCATGCTTTACCTATTTTTGATAGGCCACCGAGCAATGCCAAATGTCTGACATAATAATCAACAAATATTTGAGTACCCCTAAACTAAAGGCAGTCTATAAGGTACCAGGGGGTAAGACAAAAATAAATCAAATAATATCTCTGCTTTTGAGGGCTTTAGCCGTGTTATATTCTTTCAGATAACATTTGATTCGAAATGTTCGTTATCTGCGAAAGAGATATGCAGGCTAAATGGCAAGGAGAAGAACAAGCAAGCTCTTTCCATTTCGCGTATGGCTCGCTGTAGGACCAGTAATATGTTACGTGACCTCTCAGCAGCTCATCCTGAAACCTTCAGTGATACTTATATTAGCATTTCTAAGCGTTTTGAGATCTGCTCTTAAAATATGCTTTGAACTATTCAGTCTAAATGCTGCTTTCTGGAAAGCTACTGCTTTAAAGAATGGGAAATGGTGTTAATGGAGTTAATCTTGTGTAATTTCAGTGTGTGTTGTCAGGAATATCTTTAAGTAAAGAAAATGACTCTAATCTTCTTAGGCAATTCATTTTCTCAGCTGCTGTGAGACGGGAGCTAATTTACTCTGCCTGTGTACATAGAACCTGTCTTACTAAAGAGAACTTGTACTCCTGGTAAGAAGCCGGGACATCCATGACATTTTTAAAATTGAGGTATTTTGGAAAATATTATAAAATATAAGATATATTAAATTGTCTCTTTCATTATCAATTTTTTTAAATAAATACCCAACTCAGTTACCAATATAGAAATGAAATCCCGGTTACAAGGAAGAAATTTAATTATGGAGTCAAAACAAGAGCTATTTAGCTGTTTTTAAAGGGAAGAGATCAAAGAACTGGTCACTCCTTAACTGAGGGTGTTCGAGCAGCAGGATGGGGGTGGGGAGTGGAGAGGGTTAGGGATTCAATTCTTTATGCTTTTATTCCAAGTCACCCTTTCCTGATGAGCCCTACTGGCATTCTCTTAGACTAGTTAGGTCAGGATTCTGAACTTTTCACTACAATAGGGTTTTAATCTTAGCTGACTATTGTTTCCACCCCCACCCCTAGTCATAAAGGACTAGTGTTCTTTTCTAAAAAGAGAAGATGAAGACTATTTCTATTAAAAAAAACACACACATACACAAAAAAAAACTTTTTAAGTGTTTTAGGTTATAGTACAATAGATTTTTTTGCATCTGATTTTCAAAAGGAAAGTAATTTAGGTTCTTTTTTTTAAATAAATTAATCTTAAGGTAAATCTAATAAATTTTTTATGGTATGTAAATAATAACAAAGCACTTTTCCTATTTAGAAATGATTTTAGAAAATTTGAGAAGCAGTTATTCCAAATCCAAATTCAAAGAGCATTCTCCCAAGGCATTGAGAGAGAAAATTTTAATTTCATAGTGAAGTATTTGATGATGGTGTTTTTTTATGTACATATTCTCTCTAGTTTTGATTATTGTCATAATTTTCTAACCAGCTGCC